CGTAAACAATAAATGTAATAATAAAAGTAAAATGGAATTAACTAAATTACTTTAAAATAAAAAAATAAATAAATAATAAAATAAAATAAATATAAATATAAATATAAATATAAATATAAAAATAAATATGAATATAAACATAAACATAAATATAAATATAAATATAAATATAAATATAAATTTAATATAAATATAAATATAAATATAAATATAAATATAAATATAAATATAAATATAAATATAAATATAAATATAAATATAAATATAAATACAAATAAAAATTTAAATATAAAATAAAAATAATTTAAAAACTGTTTTAAAAAAGCACTACCAATAAATTTAAAAGAAATATGAAATAACAAATCATTAAAAAAGAAATAAATAAAATATTTATAAATATAAATTAAACTAAAACAAATTTTAAATTATATGAAATAAAACACAAAACAAAATAAACCAAATTTGCAAAAAATCCAAAAAATTCAATTTGCTTAATCAAATAAAGGAAATCAATAAAATCATACAAAATAAATAAAAGAATTTAAATGCATTAGAATATGAAAATATGAAACAAAATAAAATGTATTTAAATATAATAAAATATAATATAACAAATTTAAAGTACAAATCAGTGAAAGAGAAATAAATAAAAAAGGAAAAAATAGAAAATAAAATATTATTTGAATTAAACATAGTTAATTGAAATTTAAAAAATTTACAAAAACATATAAAAGAAATTAAAATAAGTAAAACACAAGTAATTAGAATAATAATAAAAATATAAGTAAAAGAAAATAAAAAAATAAATCATAATAAATAAAAAAATTAAATATTTAAAACCACATAAAATAACATGTTTTCTAATAAAATAAATTAAAATAATATTAAAAGCAATAAACTAAAAGTAATTATTTATAATAAAAATAAATAAAGTTAAAAAATATATCAGATAAACTGAAATAAAAATAAAATTGAATTAAATACATAAAAATGCCAAATAAAACTAAATTAAAAATTAAATAAAATAAATATTTGATGAAATAAAACGAAATGTATTAAATTAACAAAATAAAGTTAAATAAATCAAAATAACATTAGAATAAAATACGAAATAAAACAAATAAATAAAAATCAAATAAAAAGAGCATTAAGTATTTTTTTTAGTTAATCAAGTAAAGTAAAATAAAATTAAGTTTAATAAACAAATTAGAAAAAAAAACCATTTTATTAACCAATTATAATAAAATCAATGCATTATAAAATATTGGGGTTGCCCATACTAGATGGACCCATCTGGTAGCACTCTAACTTTGAGAAGAAACGTCAAATCGGCTACTCTGCCCCAGCAAGGTATATGCTCAAACTGGCTGCTGCCAGGGAAGCAGAATCAAGATGGCTGAATAAGATCACATGGAACAATTTTTATTTTTGAATGAAAATATTTTGCTCAAAAATTTTTTTTTTTTTTTTTGAACAGAAAAAAAAAACTCTAAAAATTATTTAAATTTTTTTTTAATTTTTTTTAAATTTTTTTATAAAAAAATACTCAAAAGCATATCCGTTATTGTTTGAACAAAAAACTTGATTATGATTATTTTTGTACAAGAAATTAAAAGTTCAGATCTGTACAATACTTTTGAGTGAAAATATAAAAAATTGGATAGTAAAAATTAAATCCGATCGAAAAAATAAAATTAAATGTTAAGTTATTTTTTGAGCGATAAATAAAAACTTAGATTTATTATTGATTTTAGGGCTTATAGATATTGATCACATTTTTCGAAATCACTACAGAAGTGCAAAGTATCTATAGAAATATACAGAAAACTTCCATGCGATACCTGGAAGACTTTTTTTTATTAAAAAAGCACAAAAATAATGATCATTTTCGTTTCATTATTAAAATTTTAAAGCCTGTGTACATTATATAAATCCACTCATTTGCATCCACATCTAAACTACAATCGGTATGTACGCCGATTTTATTAATAATAATATAAAAGTTATATTTACAGAGAATTAGAATAAACACAAAAATGCAAATGACTGCAGCTTAAGGGGGATATGAATAGTTGATTTAGCAGAAAATGAATGTAGGCGCCTATTTTAGCATTTGCAGTAGGTCAGTTTATAATTTTATATTCCCGCTCATAGTACACGTATGTATACTGAGTAAGAAAAAGTAGTTTAAATAAATACATACATTCAAGATATATATATGTATGTATATTCCAATTAAAAACAGAAAACTATGAATGAGTAAAGTGATGAGAAGAAACGAGTTTATGTCGATTGCAACAAGTAAGCTACGTATTTAACTGGCTTAGATACATTTATATCGCAAGATGGGCAGCGACTGATGTGGTCTTCGCTGCACTTGAAATTAGATACATACGTATTAAGGCAGATACATACTTAGAGAGTAGATACTGGATTTGCAAAGTGAATGAAGGTGAGATTTACCGTCGGAGCTTGCTTAGTTGTTATATCTCTTAATCTTCATAAAAGAAAATTAAATCACGTGCGTTTCAGCATTATAAGACAAAAGCTTATTTTTAAATACATACATATATAACCACTAGTTTTAACAGGAAAGTTGTATTTTGCGAGAAATGGGTTTTGGAATTTAATAAATAAATTTCAATAGAAAAATTTATTACTTTATTATGTACTACATATTTTTTTTGGAACAAAAATGTTTTACACATAATTTCAAAATTATAAGACACATTCCCCAGTCGTTAAAATTAACTAAGTAAATAATTTTTCCTAGCCCAGAGTATACCGAATTTATAGAGGGAACATTTCTCCAGCCTGAAAGTGAAACACACGGAGATGGTGAGCCCGAAGTCTTAATCGATGACAATGAAAAAGTCTTTCCATTACCCGACTATATCGAGGTTCGAGAAGTGATTTCCCGCTTCAACAAACAACAAAAAGGCTGGAGGTGATGGCCTCCGAACGGTTGATGGTTTTTTATGAGAAGCCTTTATTTCATATCAGAAATACACTGGCAGGGGTTGACATTCCATGCCGAGGAGCAACCGCAATTAGAAAATTTAACTTATTTTTTTTATTTAAATTGATTTTCCATAACTTTTGGATATTTCGAATAGCAGTACGCAGGTGTTAGCACTCGGCTACTGCGGCCACCATGGGATAGACCTCCTTAATATGGCATATAAGGTCCTCTCCAGCGTTTTATTTGAAAGACTTAAGCCATCAACAAACTGATTGCACCTTATCAGTGTGGCTTTAGACCTGGTAAATCAGCCATTGACCAGATATTCACCATGCACCAAATCTTGGAAAAAAAAAACTCGTGAAAAGAGGTCCGACTCATCCCACCTTTTTGTCAATTTTTGTATCCCCGAAAAACTTATACGACTTTGTAAACTAACGCTAGACAGCAACACTCGAAGTGGAGTCAGAATTGGGAACGACCTCACCGAGCCGTTCGATACCAAACGAGGTTTGATACAAAGTGACTCTTAAACGTGTGACTTATTCAAATTGATGCTGGAGAGAATAATACGAGCGAGCTGCAGTGCTAAATAGTCCAGGCAAGCGCATACAACTGCTGATATATGTCGATGATGTTCATTACATAGACCTGCTTCTGCTTTCTCCAGACTTGATAAAGAAGCGAAGCAATCGGTCTGGTAAAGAAAGAGGACAAGACGAAATATCTCCTGTCATCAAACAAATAGTCAGCACATTTACGTTACAGCTACCACGTCACTATGTATAGTCGATGTCGTAGACAATTTCGTCTATCTAGGGACTAACAGAAACCAATAACAGAAAACCTATAACAATGTCAGCCATGAAATCCAATGCAGAATCGTTCCTGCCAACAGGTGCGTGTGTAAGCAATTGAAAGTAAAGTCCTCTCTCTTAAAGTCACTCGTCATTCCCGTTTTACTAGCTTTATGGTGCAGAAGGTGATTTGGTATGTCGACATCCGATAAGTCGGCCTTACGAGTTTTCGAGAGAAAAGTTTTGCGAACGATATATGGTCCTTTGCGCATTGGCAACGGCAAATACCGCAGACGATGGAATGATAAGCTATACGAGTTTTACGATGTTATTGACAGCGAATGAAGAAGGGACGGTTTCGCTGGCTAGATCATGTCGAACGAATGAATAAAAACGCTCTAGCTTGGAAAATGTTCGATACAGTTCCTGACGGTGGAAGCAAAGGAAGAGGAAGAACTTCACTCCGTTTGAGAAGATCAAGTGAAGAGCGAACTGGTTTCACTTGGGTATATCCAACTGGGGCCAAACAGCGAAAAGTGAGAGAGAGAAAGATGAATAACGCGCTATAATTGTTTCGGCTATAATCGCGTAAGCGGTGTCAACGCCAATATAAAAGAAGAAGGAGCAATATTAAAGTGCACCTTATAAGAAATTTCGGTTCTTTAGAAAGAGTTTAATTTTTAAAACACTTTCCTTGCAGTTTTGCATCATCTACAACAAAATATTAGACAAATAGCAGAGTAGAGTAAAAGAGATAAAATCGTAAACAAAACAAAGTCAACAAAATAAAACTTGTAACTTTGAAAAACAAGCAATAAATTTAGACTGCAACGGAGAGTATATTTTTAAACAATTAAATATTTATCAAACTAATTTTCAAATTACAGAAATTCAACAAAAACAATGAGCAGCTGACTAAAATGTAGGGAAAACGTGAATTAATTTTAACTAGTTAAATAAAAATTTAATTTATTTTTGTTTGTATACTCATCACACACATCATACATATGTAAGCATATAGCTTTTTTTTATTTTATTACTGTGAAAATACAGTTATAATGTCGGCAAATAATTCAAAAACAGAGTTTTCAGTATAATACTCATTTGTAACTTTTAATCATCTGTGTGATTAACTAATTAACGTTTATATTTGCATTTTAGAGTATTTTAGTAAATATTGTTGTACTTATTTCAATATTTATATACATACATATTTATTAGCTAATTTGACTTTTACTCACCCGACATGAAATGCAGCAGAATCGATGTAATCGGATACAATACTGGACTGTATGTAATATCGGGACAGTCATAACCTAATACATTTACAATACGATCAGCTACAGAGCGCCCAGTGCGCGTTAGGTGATAGGTTAAACAATGAGCGGGATCCACGAAGGCGGGTAGCATTATTGGTTTGTCAGAGAGCTCTGTTGTGCCAAATACCTGTAAGTGAAGAAGATAATGAGACGATGAATGATATACTCGTACGAGGTTCGGCTAAGGTAGTTAGAGATGACACATCTTTTTACTCATAATTCTAATAGCGAAACTCTTTATTTGCAAAAATAACACAGCTTTTTTTATTATGTTTATCGCGCTGTGATTAAATTCCTTGTAAAAAAATGAACTACGCTGAAGAAATTTAAAAAAAAAAATTCATCAGTTTTTCGGGCCTCTGCCCCTTCATATACGATGATGCAAAAATAAGCTCGGCTGTTTCCCTGGGAGCTCAGGGAGCCCAGTGACTGTCGCGACGGGAAGAAAATGTTTACAAAGTCGATAAACTAGTACTGGCGGATCGAAGAATTGAATTATGGCAGATATCAGAACGATTACAGTTTACCAAAGGACGTTGGGTATCGCGAATTCTTAAGCCGCGATCGGAGAGATTTAACGAGTTTTTGGAGTTGTGACAAGATGATTAGGATGAAATTTGTAGCAGCATTGTAACAGTTGATCCCGAGTTCAAACAGTGGATAAAAGAAGGGAGAGAGACCACCACTAAAAAAATCAAAGTGGAAAAGTCGGCATCGAGGATTATGACACAAATTTTTTGAGATAGCGAGAGAATATTATTAATTGATTATTTGCCAAAGAGAACTAAAATGAACGGCCGGTGTTGAGTCAGTCAAGTGAGACAACCCTGCAATTATTGGCTACCCTCGCCCTCGAATTAATCTTTGACGATGATAAAACCAACAAAGCCGCCTGGTTGGCTGTGTCTAAAGTCGCTTTTTGTACTCCCCTATTGTTACCGAAGCTGTACAGGTTTTCTGTAAATCTAGTACTTCGGCTTGGTACATACTAGCTGAGATTGGTTGACGGATACAAAGAGAGAGAGAGAGAGAGAAGGAGAGAGAGAGAAAGAGAGAGAGTGAGAGAAGGAGAGAGAAAATAGACAGAGAGAGAGAGAGAGAGAGAGATAGAAAGGGAAAAGAGAGAGATAGAGGGAGAGAGAGAGAGATAGAGAGGGAAAAGAGAGAGAGAGAGAGGGAGATAGAGAGGGAGGGAAAAGAAAGAGAGAGAGAGAGAGAGAGGGAAAAGAAAGAAAGAAAGAGAGAGAGAGAGAGAGAGAATAGACAAAGAGAGAGAAAGAGAGAGAGAGAGAGAGAAAATAGACAAAGAGAGAGATAGAGGGAGGGAAAAGAAAGAGATAGGGAGAGAGAGATGGAGAGAGTAGAGAGGGAGAAAGAGAGGGAGAGAGAGAATAGAGAGATAAGAGAAAAAGGAGAGAGAGAGAAGAGAGAGAGAAGAGAAAAAGAAGGAGAGAGCGTGTATCTTCACCTGAAAGCTACTATTGAAATCCAGCCTTGCAAGCATATAGTCTGATTTATTTAAAGTTGTTATATTGTCAGAATATCACTTAGCCCATAACATTTTCGGATTCCAACCGATCTACTCATCCATTCTTATAGCAGAGCACACTGCGGGGGGCAGGAGCACATTATGTACATCGGCCCGACATGACCTAATATCCACTGTATTCCAATTAGTTTTCTGATATTTTATAGTTTTTGTAATGCTGATCACCAAACCAGTGTTACTAGACAGACCTTAAATGCCTTTCAAAGAGAATCAATCAATATCTTCCGCAAATCACTTCCCCTGAATGGGCCTAACCCATCAAAATGGGACGTTTCCTGAGACTGTCGTTGATGAACCTCGATAATGGAGACTAGCACTACCTGCTCCTAAGCGATAACAACAACAGCTTACTATGTGAATTCTATCATAGATATTAAATTAATGAAAGGCATAAAATCTTCCTTCGGCACGACGAATCAATTTAGCCATGTGTCTGTCTGTCTGTCTGTCTGTTCCCCAATAACTCAAGGAAAGATTAAAATATTTTATTTTAGTGCAATTTTGTACGAACCTTCCAGTAGGTCTGCTAAATTTTGTTTAGGACTAAAGTCTTATCAACAGGGCCGTACATAGACCAACTGCCCCTTTAAAAGACCTCCCATTTTTAGTCGATCTGTATACCTAATCTAACAAATTTTCAATTCCATACGAACTTAGTCTTCCTCACTCGTCTTGACTACCATTTCTTACAAAAACTAATTATTATTTACATCAATGTACACACATACACGTATATATGTATCCGTTACACTTATTGTATTTACCTGATGCACCATGTCCCAATAGAAACCATCCAACATATTCTGCTTCGTCTGATGTTGCGCACATAATGCTGGCCATAATTGTGCACGTATGGGTGAATTAATAGGCCATGAATTCTCGCGTAAAATACTTTTCACATCACGTTTTTTGCCCTGCTGAAGTAATTGTTGGATCTCGGTGAATGAACGCAAGGCTGGTTCTTTGCCTACAAATACAATAAGTAGAATAAGAAAAGTGAGAGATTAGTATTGTCGTAAAAGGCATTGTAGAATCGCATAAATAGAAACTAAAAAGCAAGAGAAAATAAATTTAAGACGAAAGCGAAATTACGCCAATAGACACACGCATTTATAGTGAATATTTGGGGCACATCATTGAGGTAGGCCTCACAAATGTTTAGTCATGATTTTGCAATGGAAATTCAGAATATTTTTTTTTTTATTTGCTAAGAACTTATCAGATGAACAAATTTGCTGAAAATTATATTTTAAGTGAACTCAATCATTTAAACCGATCTTGCGATGAACAAAGGGTGCAAAGACCTTACTGACTTCGGCAGGTATCTAAAGCAAACTTCAGCGCCACCATAACTCAGCTCTACTATCTCACTACCTTACTTCTTTGCATTATTTATTTTTCAAGAGAAATGGTGTGCCAAACGTCAGTGGAATGTGTAAGTAGAAGGTGGGTGTCCGTCCGTATAAATAGAATCCATAAGTACTCTTTTGACACATCTTCGAAAATGCGATGGTGTCAAAGCACTTAGGAAACACTTAAGCGGCTGAGATTAGAGATACGATACTACGTTAGTAAGGTCGAGAATACATACAGCAAACAATGTTTTTCACGGTGAATAATTATCTAAAAAAAAAAAACGACAAAATTCTTATCAAATCGGAAATTGTTGTGTGAATATTTCGGATTTTTTTTCTTTCTTTTTTTCACATTAAAATTCACAAGCTGGCAGGCAGTGTACTGTAGCCAATGTGCTGTTCAAGCCCCTATTTCTAATTAAAACATTTCAATATACTATATAATATATATGTACGCATGTGTACGTACATAGCTAAAATCGAAATTCGATTTGGAATTTTATTAGCATTACATACAAATATATATAAAAATATATAGAGGCATATACAAACAATTTGGCAAATAAAGAAATCATAAAATCATGAAAATTAGCAAAAGCGTCAATGTGTTTCCATTTAAACAATCGATGTTTTTGTGGACGTGACTGTTAACACATGCACAGTGGCCACGGCTCTCATATTGGTGTATTAAAATTGTTGCATAACTATGTATGTAAATATAGTATATGTATGAAAATGCATATATGTAAGGCTTGATGGGGGTGTATAAGACGTGCTTTCCACATATATATATATATATATATGCATACGTATGGAGATGTAGCCAAGAATAGAACACAATAACATTTATTATATTTTTATTTAGTTTTATTGAAAAAATGTGAATTAAAAATTTCCTTTTATCTGAATTAATTTTTTTTTTTGCGAGACATAATTACTTACATTTATTTTTGTTTCAAATAATTTTTTATTTATTTACTTTTCTTTAATTTGAGCTAATTCAATTTAGTTTTAATGTATTTTATTTCATAAATTTTTTAAATGATTTTTTTTTATTTACTTCATTTAATTTAATTTAATAATTTAATTCAATTTTTTAATGTATTTTATTTCATAAATTTTTATAATGATTTTTTTATTTACTTCATTTAATTTAATTTAATAAATTAATTCAATTTTTTAATGTATTTTATTTCATAAATTTTTTAAATGATTTTTTTATTTACTTCATTTAATTTAATTTTGTATCAATTCATTTCTATTTGTTTTGTATCGTTTTATTTAATCTAATTTGATTTAATTTTTTATATCTTAATTTAATTTTATTTTGTTCTAATTTTTTTTATATTATTATATTTTATGTTTTTATTTTATTTATTCTCATTTAATTTTATTTTTTATTTTGTTTACTATATTTAATTTTATTTATCGTATTTTAAATTTTTTTATTTTATTTATATTAATTCATTTCATTTTATTATGTTTTATTTTACTATTATATTTTTTATTATTTTGTTTTAATATAATTTAATTTATTTATTTAATTTAATTATTTTAATTTTACTTTATTTATTTTAATAATAATTTATTTTTTATTTTAACTTTTCCATTTTATTTATTAGTTTTTATTTAATTTGCATTATTTGGTTTTATTTTATTTAGTTTTTATTTTATTTCATTTTGTTTTGTATCGTTTTATTTAATTTAATTTTTTTTATTTTCTTACTTTTATGTTTTTTTCGTCTCATATTTTTTTAGTTTAATTTTATTTATTTTACTATATTTTAATTTATTTGTTTTGTTCCTTTGTTTCTTTGTTAAAGTTTTTTTTATTTCAATCTAATTTTTCTAATTGGTATTTATTTTTTATTTGGGTTCATTTTATTTATTTTATTTTACTTTATCTTATCTTCTTTAAAACTAGTTTTTTATTTGGTTTCATTTATTTATGTATTTTTTTATATAATTTTATTTCAAATGTTTTTTATTTTATTTATTTTTTTCTAATTTTATATCATATAATTTTTATTTTATTTTAATTAATTTTTTTAATTTGCTTTATTTATTTTTTTTTATTTTATTTTATTTTTTTATTTATTTTATATTTTTTTATTTTATATTTTTTTATTTTATATTTTTTTTATTTTATTTTTTTTTTTTATATTTTTATATTTCTTTATTTTATATTTTTATATTTTATTTTATTTTTTTTTTTAATTTTTTTTTTTTATTTTATTTGATTGTATATATTTTTTACTGTATTTTTAATTTTCTTTTATTTATTTTTTTATTTTATTTATATTATATTTTAATTTATCTTATACTTTTCAGTTTTGTTTTAATAAAGTTATTTTTTTATTTATTATTCTATATTTAATTTGATTTTAATACTAACTTTTATCGGCCTTATGCAGATATTATTTTTTAATATTATTTTATTTTAATTCTTTTGATGTTTTGGATTTGCACTAATTTATTTTATTTCACTAATTTTATTTACATTTTTTCAGTTTATTTTATTTAGTTTTATTTTATTTCTATTTTTAAATTATTTTTTTTTTTTTAATTTATTTCCATCCATATTTTAATTGACTTTTAAATTTTTTTATATTATATATATATATATATATATATGTTTTATACAATATGATCCAGCGGATCCAAAGCGCCAACAACATTTAACTTTATTTTGTTTTTAATTTTGGTCTAATTTAATGGTATATTATTATTTTTATTAATTTAATTTTATTTTATGGTATTTTCTCAGTTTATTGAATTTAATTTTATTCGATTATAAATTAAGAAACTAACTTTGGTTTTTTTCTATTCATATTATTTTACTTTATTTCCTATTAAATTGTATTATTTACTTTTTTTTGTCATTACATTTTATTTGGATTTAATGTATTTATCTCATTTTATTTGCTTTTGTTATTATTATATTATCTTAATTTATTTTCATATATACCATTTTATTTAATTTTTAAAATTAATTTTTAAATTAATTTATTATATGAGGAATAGAAAAAAATTTCTCATTTACTAAAAAAAAATTATATTTTCCCTATAACAGAAAAAATATATTAATATTTTATCATCACATTTTGGTTAAAATCTGAACAATTATTTTAAATCCCCAAATAATTGTTTGCATAAAAGCGCCATGCTTTTTGCGACAGTTCCTTAGATCTAATAATATCTGAGGTATAAATTCCAGTCACAATCTAAAATAGAGATAAATGGAATACTTTTCACAAAAGATATAACCCCAAGCATATTTTTTTATATCTAAATTACTAAAGTAAGAGCAAATATCGTCAATAAGGCAATTGAAGACGCAGATAACATAATCGACTTGTGCCCAACCCAAATTCCAACTCTCCAAATACCACGTCTCACGAATCACAGAATAAACCAATAAACATATGTTGATTTGTAGCTTCAAAAAATAATCTGACTACAACAGCGACAAGCAGTTATCGTGCGTGTGAGGCAGAGAGAAATTATCATATTCATTGCCTAAATTGATTGCTGTTTAAGTTATCGAGCGAAGTAAGACACAGCTTTCGAGTTGCTTGTTGTATGTACGTGCATATGTCTGAGTTGAAAATGTGAAGTGCTAAAGTAATCACATACACATACACATATTCAATATTAAGACAACTCACTGGATTTTCCATTTAAAAGTTTGCCAAAAAGTGGAAGCTTCGTTGTGTTAAAATCAAAATTCGTTTTATCAAAAATTTATTTCCAAGCTTTTGATCACACATTTACATACATACATATGTATACAGATATACCAGCATAAGATTTTATTTATGTGTCAAATTAGTTAAATGTTTTTTGATTGATTGCCAACTTCATAAACTCCAATATACATATATATGTACATATATATGTATGTACATATGTCAGCTGAGCGTCAACAGCAATCGTTTGTGATATCATTTGATTTATGATATAAACAAAAAATCATAGAAAGCTAATTTTGTCGCCGGCTTTGCACATAGATAAACAAAAACTAAAAGATAAGATTAAAAAAATGTTTGTGAATGTTTGCATGACATTTCGTAAGTATACACACATATATATGTGCATTTGTACACACAATAATTAGCTAAGTATTTATAAGCATTAAATAAAAAACTTCGCCTGAATTTGGTGTTAATGAAATGATTGATTCCAGTCACAAATATGAGTTATAAATAATAATTATTGCTATATAATTTTAAATCACCTTACGAAATATATAATATGTGCCATTGGCAGTTATTAGCAATTATTTGCTAAAACAAATATTTCATGCAAAAAGTAATATTTGTGTGATGATTTATTAGGCTATTTCCGTAAAATATATGCATAAATAAATTAAAATAAAACAAAGAAAGAAACAACAACAACAACAACAACAACAACAACAAAATAACACAGCGTGTTGCAAAAAAAACCTAAAGGGAAGTAAAGGAATTGTAAAAAAAAAATATTTAACAAAGCAAAATAAAAACAAAATAAATTAATAAATTAAATAATAAATCAAATAAGAATCCAAAATTTGTATTTAACAAAAATTAGTAAAAATAAATATATATTATATATAATAAAATTATATATC